CTCGTTGTGGAGCTACAGCGGGGAGCAGAAGCTACAGCAGAGCCCACCGCCCGACGCGATACCGCCCTGAAACAGTTTGAGCAGAAATAGCCAATCTGGGCAAATCTAGCAACTTGTCTAGCTCCTCGCTGCAGCATCCGATGACGATGACACGCATATGCTCGCGAAGCTGCTGATGAGACCTTCAATTTGCACCGCTTCTTGCAATAGCCCGTCCCCTACTTGCCAAGAAATGGCAAGAGGCGTCTGGACCCGAAATTTTAATTTTTTTGGCTCTCGCTCTCAATCAGATACTTCGCTCTCAATCAGGCGAATATGTTGTTTAGTGCTGTGAGCGCTGAGTTGAAGTGAAGACGAAAAATAAACAATTACCCCGTGCAGAAGAAGCGCCGAGAGCAGCCGACGGAATTTTGGCGCTCGAAGAAAACCTACGACTTCAATCTACGACGAAAAGAAAAACGGCTGCATCAGGCTTGCGTTTCGCTTCGCGGCAGAAGAGCTGTAGAAGAAAAGCTGAGTGCTGCTGGCTGAAGAGATGAGTGCGCGGTGCACGGCGAGAGTGGAATTGTGTGGATTGAGTAGGAGTGTGTGGACACGACAGAGACGCGGACACAGCCCGAGATTGATCGGAAAGAAACCTCGAAAGAACTCTGAATTCGAAAGAAAGGGACCGGAGGGAATGGCGGCCTGTGGGTACCCGAGATTGGGAATGCTGGCCGGTCAGCGATCCACGCAAAATGTGAAATGGTTGAACGGAAGGAAGTATGGTCAGTCCAGGACAATTTGTCCATTTTGTTTCTTAGCGATAACTTTCGAACAAAAACGATTTGGAAGGTGAAACTGCTTTGGCCGTGACGGCGGCGTCGAGCTGCGTCGATATCCGGTGAGTTTTTTGTGTTTGGACAAAATGCGACGTTTTGGTCATAAAGACCCACGGAACCCCTACCCCCCCCTCCGACCCCCCCACGGGGCCCCCTAACCTCTTCCCGGAACCCCCAAATCACACTGTAAATGTCCTATGAGCCCAAACACGCTCTGAACGGGTAACCCTCGTCTCACAGGACACGATTTACAAAAGCGAACACCACGACACAAACACACAAAAATGATTATACTTAAAGTGAACACCACAAACACAAAAACACAAACACCACGACACACACCTCCGTCCACGCTTGCGCGTTTCGGACAGCTTATTTTCCTAGGAATCTCACCAACAACCTGAACGCTTCCTTCAAAGTTAAAGGCGACCGCGACCGCGGGCGCTGCTCGCGCTTTTCGCACAGTGAGAGCAGCGCCCTTTTCTGCTTGAACGATTTGAAATTCTTTTTCGCCCTCTTAATCGACTCAGTACGCAGCTCCTGCGCGGCTGCTAGCGCCTTCTCCTCTGCTTTCTTCTTCTCCTCCTCCGTCTTCCCTGCCCCTGCCCTCGCCAGAACCACGGAGTCACCCCTCCCCGTGGGGGAACGGCGGCTCAACCAGTTCTTGAGGTCGCGGACCTCGAGGTAGTCCACCAATCCCTCGTCGTAGGCCTCGAGATACAGCCACGTCACCCTGCTCCACCCGCGAACAAACCCCAGCGGGACGCCACTCAAGGCGCCTGGCAGAATCTCAAGCATATGCGGGAGAGAGTACTCGCAGGAGAGGCGAAGGAGGTGCTTGACGTATCCCCAGTACCGCTCGATGGCGTTGAGCTCTGGGTGATACTTCGCCAAGAATATGCAGATGTGCCCCGCTTTCTTGAACATCTTTTCGATCTTGTTGAGCTCCATCTTGAACGCCTTGAGCTCTGCAAAAACTTTCCTAATGCAGCAGCGACGCCTTGTGCCGACACGGTTGCCAGCCGCCCCGCCTTCTGTCCCCTCCTCTGGCGAGGCACCGTCTCCTCCACCGTCCTGGTCTTCGCGCGCAGCATCATCCAACGCCTGCTGCCGTGCCTCTCCGCCGCGGTTGAACGCAGTTATTGCTGCCTTTATTGCCTTCCTTTCCTCTTTGCACGCGTTGCACTTGAGAACCCGAATGGGAGCCTGGCCAGGAACGTCCCACAAGCCCATCTCCATGAGCAGCTGCTGTCCGCCTTTCGCCTGGCCGATCAGGCCTGAGGTACGGCCGGTAGTCCGTACTTTTTCGCCCGCTTTGAAGTCTCCAAGGCTGCTGCCGAACTTGGGCCTCTTGTATTTTGGATCATTTTTCGCCGCCTCCCTCTCTTCCTCCTCCAGCTGCTCGGGCGTCTATGCGGCGTAGACGTGCGTGTCCAAAAGAACCGTATCGCCCTCGCGAAATGTGGCGTGAACAAGGTTCCCCTGATCGTCGAGGAAATCGTCAAGAATGACCTGCCCCCCGCCCGGCTTCTTTTGGATGTGGCTAGCCACCAGTGCGCCTTCCTCGTACGCGGCGTGCCCCGTGGAGTTGTCGAAGACCATCACCATTGGGCGGTGGGGCTCACTCGTCAGCTCGTGGATGGCGATCAACCCCGGAATCTGCTTGCACATTCTGTCGTTGGTCCAGTACCCGTCCGAGTTTTGCCCCACGGTCATGATAACCGCCCCGGTGCGCGGGTCGTTCTTGGTTTTGGTCACTCCGCAGTCAGCTGGCATCGCTTTCAACAACTCCACCGCATCCTGTACGAACTTGACGGCGTGGCCATCCTCCCCGTCGCCCTCCTTCCTGCCGAAGTAGATCCCAGATCGCTCGTAGCGTTGACGGACTACGAAACACTCAGGCACGTCCCCGTCCCCGGTAGCGGGCCCTTGCGCGATGACTTCAACCGCCGGAGCGTACCCGACGCTCTTGTCTTCCTGCATCATGCCCCAGGCCTCCTTCCCGATCACCGCAACGCCTCTGTCCACGCCGATGATGTCAGACACGTGCACGGCCCGCCCTTCCCCCTTCTTCTTGATGGCGGCTCCTTTTTGACCATCCATCCACTGGCAGCCGCCATCGTCGTTCTCCTTCGCCGTCGTTTCGTCGTGGAAGTAAAGGGCCAACACCTCGTGATCAGGGAGTAGGCAGAAGTCTCCTTGCCCGTCACTTGCGGACAAGTCGCGCCGGTTGAACGGCACCCGCGAGGAGTCGACGAATGGGGTTCGCTTGCAGTCGTGGCAGTCGCAGTCGGCAGAGATCCAGTTGAACTCTCCCACACGCTTGCAGTTCCTCCCGCGCAATTGCTCTCCGTCGCGGACGCGAACGTGCTTGTACTCCTCCTTGCCAGCCACCACACGCTTCGCCGGCCAGAAGAGCGCCTCTTCCTTGACCCTCTCCGCCTTGTAGCACTCCTGCACTTCACGATCAGGCACCAGGGTGTAGTGCCCCCCCCGACCGGTCATCTCCAGGTCGCCCGCGTCGACAGAGACACGGGTGCAGCAGCGGTCGTGGCCCGTTGCCTCCGTGAACTTGTCGCCGTAGACGAGAACGTGCTTGAAGTCCACCCCGCCGTCGGGCATCGTTCGTACTGCCGGCCAGAGCACCGGCTCCGCACAAGCGACCGCAGCGGTGATGTTGTCGTCTCGTCTGTCGTCCGTTGACGTCTTCTCCCGATCACGCGCGTCGCGGACCTTCACCATCACCACGGTTTCGACTTTTTCCGGGCTGTGATCACGAGGTTCGAGGGCGGTGAAGGGGGGGCGCATAGAGAGGGCGCGATCAGTATGGTACGCTTCTCTTCCCACGGCTGACAAACAAACTATTTTCTTCCGGCTCGTTGGGTGCAGGGGGGTGCAAGGTACAACAAAGCGATGGCCAACGAAAACGCAAAATATAAAAATTTAGGTTGGCAAAATAACAGCGCAGGGGACGAGCACAAGAATCGAGGCCACAACCGAACTGCTGCCCCTAACTTCCCTGTTGCGCAAGAACGCGTTTTTGATTATTTTCGTGCTTGCTGATGAAACGGCATCGCTGGCGCTACGAGTATGGCACCCTGCATGAGCACACCGAAAAATACCCCTTTGACCGAAAGCACCAACTCGCAAAAAAATAATAGACAGCCCGTTTTTTCGTCCACTTTAACTGCTGTCTCGTATTCGGGGGTCGCATCTACAGCATATTATACACGATGTGACGCGTTCGCATAAAGAAACAGACTAGGCTGGAGCCTGCGCTTTTCGGACAAGTTTATTCAGCATTTTTGCCGGGCATACTCGACACTGTACTCTCTCATTGGCGCTCGTCCCGCCCTTCGCCGCGTACTACCCAACCAGGTACCGGCTCCGCCGCCTTTCCACACCACTTACATGGACATCAAGCGACGCATGACGAACATCTTCTCCGTGTACAACCTCCTTGCTTGTACAACGTCCGGTCGGTTGTGGCCGTCGACGTACACGCACTTGCCGTGTCGCCGCCACCTGAATCCGAGCTGGGCGATCCAGACGTGCGCTGTGCTGCGGCAAATGCCCCCACCGCCGGCGAACTCCTCCTTAAGGCACACGGTGTTTACCCACCTGACGCGCAGCACCAAAGGGAGGGAGGCAGGGATTGTTTCAGAGAAACAAGAGCCGTAAAAAATACCCGCGCTGTTGCATGTCTTAGAGAGAGAAAACATGCGCAGAGCGTTTCCCGCACCAAAACCAAACCTGCACTCTCCGTTCCTCGCTGCAACAACCTCACCTTTGAAAGTCGGCGACCCGAAAGCGAGGTTGCCCCTTCTTCCGACGGTAAATCCGCTCGTCGACGTATTCCCGGCACTGTTCTCTGATATCCTCGTCGTCGATATAGCAGAAGGGCTGCCGCTTCACGTACTCTCGATGGGGAACAACGAACTTGCCGTCCTTGCAGAAATCCGTCACCCACTTCCGGACGGTCCGGGCGTGGACACCCACGGCCTCCCCGACGGCGCGGCTGTGCGCTAGCTTCTTCACCCCCTCGTTTATCCTGCCAAGGTACAGTCGGCACAGCACAAAGGTAACTACAAACATAGGCGCTCTTGTACAACCAAGCTAAAATGCACATCGACAACGGCAGCGGTCATGACAACTGGGGCAGCAGCATGCGCCTACTGTTGGCATACTTTGCATAGATTGCAAAAGAAAAAGACGCAGGTAGACGTCGAGGGGACGGGGGGGGGGGGAACAATGAAGACGTCCTTCTGCAACTAATGTCGAATAAGAAAAGGCTCAAGCTCGGAAAGCATGTTTACCGTGATCTCACATTTTCCCACCAACATGGGGATGGACGGACGGGTGGAGGGTTGATGCTCTCAACAAACCAAGGGGCTCCCCTAAAGACTTGCACATTCTTCGAATTCAATTTGCGAACGGCGAGCATACACTCACTCCATGGTAAGGTACGTCCGGACGGCCCCGATCACCCGACAGACACGAACAGCACGAACTCGCGCCAGCATCGTGTCCGGTTTCTCCACCAGGCTCGTGTAGTCGTTGCCGGCCTGCACAGCGGCATACATACACAAGTGCAATGCGAAAGAAGTCGTTTGATGTGCCGCTTAGACAGAAACATGACAGTCGCTATTCACCCGTGTACACAGCACCAGCACCCAGCAGAGGTCCATAGACAGGTAATGGGCAAAGATGCATATTACTGTGACGTGTGTAGGGTACCCACGCCGTCCGCCGTAAAATACAGCAATCACACACAAACAGACAAACGCACACAAACACGCACGAACAACACACCTGGTCTATTTTGTCCAGCGCCTGGCGGAATATCCTGACAAGCTCCTCCTTGCGCTCCGAGCAATGCTTGCGTGTCCTCCTCGCTTGGCGTGCAAGCTGCTGCTTCGTCCACAACTGTCCTACTAGCCGGACTCTCGCCTTTCGGTGTACACGCTTAGCTTTGGCAGTCTCGCGTTTCAACCTCAACAGCGGGTTCTGGACCTCATCCCGCAGCAGCTTGCGCACTCCCCGCCCGGACCCACTTCCCCCGACGCGGTCAGCGCTGGCGCGTCTTGGGGGAAAATACTCCTTCCTGGACGTTTCCCTCGAGCTCCGTCGAACAGCGGTGGCCGGTTGTCGGGTTGTGGCGGCGGCGGCGGTTTTGGCGGCTGCACTGCAGCCGCCGATAGCTGGTGCTCCGCTTGCTCCTCCAAGTTCAACATCGCCACCGAACCCGCAATCGCCCTGTTCCCGCCTGTTCCCCATCGCTGCTGCTGCACTGCTACCCCGGGGCTCAACGTCGCCGTCGCGCCCGGCGTCGCTGTCTTGGTCGCTGTCTCGGTCGCTGTCGAGCGAACCATCGCTCCGGTCAGACGGGTAGTCGTGTCCGTCGAGAAACCCTCCGCACGAAAAGTACCCATCGTCGCAGTGTTCCTCCACAGCTCCTTGCGCTTCTGCTTGCTCGCCCTCACCGACCCACTCCTGCAATGGTAGATCCACACCATCTTCAACAAGCATGTCGGTTTCGCTGCAGCTATCGCTGTTGCTATCGCGGCCGCCGTCGCTGCCTGGCTCAGCGGTGCACGCAGCAGCAGGCACCGCACTGCTGTCGTCCTCTTCAAGCAGTGGTTCCGCCGCACGTTGCGTCTCCGAACTTTGAGGTAATGACTGCTGTGACTGCTGCTCCGCTCCACGCGTCAGCCAGCCGGCCATATAGCTCGCCATCTGACGTTTCGCAGCCCCTAGCGCAACCTGTCTGCGACGGCTGAGAGTCTGCCGACAAGGTCCCTCCGCACGCCGAGGCGGCGCAACCTCGCGAACCCAAGACAGTGCGGCGCAAGCTGCTGGAGACTCACCGAGAGCAGCAGCGGACCCGAAAGACAGTGTGGCCTGACTTCCACCCGAGGCGGCACCGGCGTCTTCGTCGCACCAGGCTTCGTCGTGGTCGTCGTGTGGTTCGTCAACGACTTCCATCGGAGAAGATGTGCTGTCGTCCAATGGCTCGGGAGCAGCGACAGCTGGTTCATGGCTCTGAAATTTGCCTTTGAACCTGCCTCGCTTTGGTGGTCTGCCACGTTTCTTCTTCGTGTCCATGACTGCTGCGGGTGCTGAGTGCCGCAGTAGGGCGTATGGGCGAGGGCACACCCTCGCACAAGCGCTATGTGTGCGTGCGTGTGTGCGTGCGTGGCAGGAACAAATCGCCGCCCATCGGCAAAACAAAATGCCGAATATCTCGCGAACCAGATTTTTTTCGGAAAATCGGAAAAAAATTCCATCTGGGGAATTTCGAGAGGAATCGATTGCCGTGGTCTTTTTGAAGCTCTATGGTTGAATGTCGGAGGGAAAAAGTGAACAAAATGGTCTCTCTAATCCAGTTTTTCGGCGATAACTTCGTCAATTTTTGCTGAAATCGAAATCGGAAAAAAATTCCACCTGGGGAATCGCGAGAGCTGTCGAAATCCGGTCTCATAATTGTGGTCTGACAAAAGCCCACCCCAGGAAAAAGTGAACAAGATTTTCCGGTTATTTGCAAATAAATCGACAACAAGAAAAAAAAAAACTTTCCACAGGGACCTGCACCTGGAAACAGGGCGTTTGCCGGTACTTTCGGTTTTGCGAACAACCACCTGGGTGCAGAGAAACAATTCATAAAGTGGGTGTCGCAATTGTTGATATTGGGTCTTGGACTGACCATATGCTTCTCAGATTTCACGGCATCATGGGCTGTTAACTGACAGCAATCCATTCCCCCACCCACCTTAAAATCGTGTCTTGATACACGCGCTTCGACGTGAGTTCGAGGTCGACCGCATCGTTCTCGCCCTTGCCGTCGGGTAGCACCAGCGGTCCGTAGACTCTCGTGTGTCGCAGAGTCTCAGGTCGACGAGGACCTTCTGTCCCATCGGTTGCGCGCTTTGCTTTTTTACCCATGGTGTGGTTACGCTGGGTGTGTCTGCTCTGCGACACTAGCCGTCCGCCTATCGGGTCGGTCTGCGGTGAAAGATGCGGTGTTACCTGCTCTCCTTTGTTTGGGAAGGTTGGTTCCCACACGGACGGTATGTTGTACACTTCGCGTGCCCCCTGACGACTGCAAAAAACATGTCATACCGGCGCCGCTGTTTTGCTCTAGGGATTCATTTTATTAATGCAAGCCAATCAGGGGGTGTCCCTCATTCTCTCCGACCCGTGATGGCGACTCCTAGTCTCAGTTGTTACATCGCATGGCGCGCAGAGGGAGTGGAGGACTCCGGAATATCTGTCGTTGATTTCTATTGACTTGCGGACCACTCGGGGCCATTTCATTTGAGTGTACCTTTTTAGGGTAAGTTAGGCTGCGACCACGGGAATCGACCGCGTCGAGTGTTGCATCAGTACGGAAATACAAAGTAACTGGGTGGAGAGAGATCGGAACGGTTTTTGATGTGAAGACCGGGGTACTCCTCGGGAATTTTCCCGACGTCATTTAGGAATTTTGGCGGTCCCGGTACTGGCCGGAATTCCCGCCATGTTCGCTGGTACCGGGAACCGCCAAAGGCGTTCCCGCCGAAAAAACGAAAACCGCTTCCCGCCTGAAAATTCCCGCCATATCGCAAACCGCCGACATTGGTACCGCCGTATTTTCACGTTCCCGGGACCGCCAAAAAAACCCCGCCATATTGCAGTACCGCCGAAATGGTACCGCCATATCGCAGTACCGCCAAAATGGTACGGCCATGTCCTAGTACCGCCAAAATGGTACCGCCAACGGGTCGGTAGCAGTCCAATTGTTGCTTTCAAAACCTGTTGAACGGGAACGGGAAGAACTGGGGTTCAAATTCAATTCCCACCCACGACGCTTTTTGCGTTGGTTCGGTTCAAGTCCCTTTTCTGTAGAACTTTTTTTATGTGTTGGCGCAGACAGACGGGCAGACGGGTGAAACACACCTGCCTACAGCGCAGCGGGCGTGTGGTCCAGCAGAGCAATGAGTGCTTCAGAGGCCAGTGTCAGCACTACTTCTAGTGGTGTAGAGGCTGGGTCTGCCGAATCGTTGGTGTCTTCTTCGGGCGACGCAGCGGATGCGGGCGACTCGGTGAATGCGAGCGATCAACCAGTGGCTCCCGGCCACTCGGCCTCGGTGGTGTTGCAGTCACCCACCGAGGCTGAAGCCACGGTTGACACCGACCGCGGCAAGCAAGTGACAGTCACACTTGAGCCTCCAGAACACGAGAAGAGGGCGTTGACGGGGTGGTGTTGGATGTTGGTGAGTAGATTCTCCCCGACCATCAACGAGAAGAACGTCGTTTTGTTTGCTTGGCAAGAAAAAGGACGGCACTACATGAAAGCATCTATCTGATGTGGACTCCATCGGAAGGCGGCACGAAAGGATCGGGAACGACTGGCCTGAACAAGCACCCCGAATCGTAGTAGACGAATATATTTATTTTTCTGTGTTGTCGTCCATGAAGCTATTCGGGGTATTGTGCAGTATGCTTTCTTGTGGCGGTGTCTTGGGTCTTTCCCGTGTGCGCGTGTGGTGTGCAAATTTTCTGTTACCGCCATGATTTGAACCGCCCGTGAAAGTACCGCCGGATTTTCGTGGTACCGGGACCGCCGAAGGCGTTCCCGCCAAAATGCGAACCGCCGGAGAAAGTACCGCCATATTCGTTGGTACCGGGAACCGTCGAAGGCGTTCCCGCCAAAACGCGAACCGCCGGAGAAAGTACCGCCATATTCGCTGGTACCGGGAACCGCCGAAGGCGTTCCCGCCGAAAAAACGAAAACCGCTTCCCGCCGAAAAATTCTCGCCATATCGCGGTACCGCCACAATTGGTACCGCCCAAAAAAAAGGTACCGAGGAGAACCAACAACAACAACAACATTCAGCTCATTTACGACCAACTTTTTATAAGTGCAAGCCACTCTGCCTTCTTCCCCTCGCTCCTCGACTAGTTTTTTCTTAGACATGGGTTGTATGTAGCGAAGGGGGGGGTCTTTCTGGCGAGCAGGGCTAGACTCACCCTCAAGGGATGACCGAAACCTTCTTGCTGCTGCGCATATCCGCCGCGAGGCATG